CAGCTGCCTCCCTACTACTGAATGAATATATCTAAGAGCTTAAAGCCTGTTAGGCCACAGAATTAGGAAAATTTAGCTTAAGCTGGGAAATCAATGTTTCATTGTAAGGTATAAAGCTACCTTCATAAAAATCTTGTGCTTTCTTTAAATGAAACAAGCCAATCTTTAAGTTCTTATCCCAGATATGGAAAAAGAGGTACAAACTCTCATTTCATTGTCAGAAAAGCCAGCTATCTTAGAGAATATCCTGCCCAGGTAGGGGTTTAGAACATTCTGTGGTTGTGTGACAGACTACTGTTAACTCACTGCTGTCATATTTTGCATTTTCAAAACTGCGAGATGGCACCAGTGGGTTCACTACTCAGTTAACCAGAATATTCCCGTGTTTAACAGCTCATGCTAAGCTGACACTGTCAGTATTTTCTCATTTCTCATAGACCATTACAGGCTTAGGCTTGGTGAGCCTTGGAACTAGTAGACCTGATTTCAAATTCTGGTTCTGCCACTTGCTAGCTTGATTGACACTGTCTTGTTATTGAATCTCCATGAGTCTCAGGGTTCTCATCTATAAAGTGGGAGTGATAACAGAATTACTAGCACTGTACCTAGTATATAGTGGTTCTGAACAAATCTTGGCCACCAGTATTATTCATTGAAAGCACAATATTAATTGGAAGGCTTATCTAAACTTTTTTTTTTTTTTTGGACAGGCAGAGTTAGTGAGAGAGAGAGAGACAGAGAGAAAGGTCTTCCCTCCGTTGGTTCATCCCCCAAATGGCTGCTATGGCTGGAGCACTGTGCTGATCCGAAGCAAGGAGCCAGGTGCTTCTCCTGGTCTCCCATGGGGTGTAGGGCCCAAGGACTTGGCCCATCCTCCACTGCACTCCCCGGCCACAGCAGAGAGCTGGCCTGGAAGAGGAGCAACCAGGACAGAATCCGGCACCCCAACTGGGACTAGAACCTGGGATCCCAATGCCGCAGGTGGAGGATTAGCTAAGTGAGTCGTGGCACCGGCCTCGAAACCTTTCTAATAGTGCAGGGTGGAAGACGGGAGAGTGATAGTCACTTGTGTCATTCCTTGATCACTTTGTGTGTCTACAAGACCATTTTCATTTTGAGAATTGTAAACATATTATATTCCTGTTGTCATCGAATGGATCATGTTTTTCTTTCTGTTTTAGCTTCTAAGAAGATCAGAACCAAATGCGTGACTTTACTCTAATGATATTCTAGGGAAGTTCTGTGTCTCTGCCCTGGCTTTCCCTTTGTGTTGGTTGTCATTCTATTTGGTCAATATTTTTTTCTGATCCCAGTTTTCACTTTCTATTTTATTAGATGGTTTATTAGAAGCATCTTTAAATACTTTGAAGTACAGGGTTGGGTATTCACATAGGTTATCAAGGGGTCTCAATTTGTTGAATAGACATGAAATACTTTGATTTCTTTCAATAGGGGCTCCCAAGTTCCAATCATACTCCATCAAATCATTTTTCTTTAGCAACATCCCAGGTAAATAACATTCTCTTTACTTTTAGCTATTAAAATTTAGGCTGGTTCAATGTAAGACGCCAATATCCTACATGGTTCAAAGTTCTACACCTTTCATCTCTACTCTTTAGGGTTCTGGCTCCTTCACTATGTTAGGATCAAGAAGAAGGAGGAACGGCAAGGTTGACTTGGTTGGTTGGGGCCACCCCTTCGTTATGTTGCTAATTAGCCCAGTTCACATCAGCTAGTGTCCGTGCCTCAAGCATGATAGTTCTATGGCAGTTCTTTGAAAGCCCCAAGAGTGCTCCACCTTCCCCTCGCTCTGTTGCCCAACTTCCTGACTGGAAGATCTGATTCCAGCTCCACCTCTTCTACTCCCTTGCTCTCCTTCCATCTTGGCACCCACCAAGTGTGTGCAATATCCTCTTCTTATTGGGTGTCCTCACCAGGTAGACAAGCCTTAAGGGTAAGATACAACCGGATTGTACAAACCCAGTTCCTTACCATAACTAGTGGTCCCATGGGAAACTCGAGCTCATTGCCAGGCATCACAATGGCTCACCTCTCCCCACCCTCCATGTTTCTCCAGTTTTCGTCATTGCAGAGGCAGAAAATTAACTCTGCTGTGAATATCCACCTGTGAATATCCTTTTCATGAAGGGAACCCTGATCTCTATCTCCTGCTCTCTTGGTGCCCTGCTCCCTTTTTGGCTTAGATGAAAAGCTGTATTGTAGGAAACGGGGTAGTGGCCATGACCAATGACCCTCTCTTAGACTTCCATTGCTCTCCCAGTCTTTTTATAGTCAGTAGTGCTCCTCAGTAAAGCTAACACATCTCCTAGGAGCACCTCAGGAATAGACGGAGCTGTTATTGGTTGTCACAGTGATGGGGAGACCTTCTGACACTTGATGGACACAGCCAGGGATTCTAGACATCCTGCAGTGTACAGGACAAACCCCTACCAAGAAGAACCATTTCACGTCCTGCATGTCTTTCTGGTGTCTGGCAGGTGTTTTATAATAACCTTGGCCCAGAACCTAATTGCATTTTATGTAAAAAACACAAAGTGCTTTTGTATAACTTTAACACACTGAATACACTGAATTTTCCAGAAACCTGACTGGCATGTAAATCAAGCAAAAATTATACAGTACTTATGTCTTTTGGGAATTTGCCAAGAATTGTTCCCCGTTTTGGACAATCTCTAATGGCAAGGCTGGTTGTGCTGTTTAAGTGGCCAATTGATTAATCTGCAGTTTATCTGTATTAACAAAAAATGTATACATAAATTACAAATATGCTTACTTAGCCCATACTCCAATGGTAAATTTTTTTAAAAAGTCAATAATATTCAACTTTATTTTGGATTACTTTAAAAAAATCCAAATTTTTTTCATTATAAGCAGGCCCCAACAACTGACTACTACTATATTATGTTTGCCAGTGTATCCAGGAAATATCTACTAAAATGCATAGTATTTTAACCATAACTTACCCCTGGGCATTGTGTTATTGGGAGGGGGCAATTTTATTATGTTCTGATTATATTTTCTGTTAATTACATTTCTTGATGTCAAGTTGACATTGCATAATATTTGTTGTTATAAGGAGATATAAGGTTGATAAAATTGATAGTCATTAATATAGACTGAGAAGGTTGATAGAATTGATAGTCATTAATATAGAATGAAAAGGGATACAGGGACCTTCCATAATAATACTGCCATTATTAATTTTTAGTGGAGTTTGGAGGAAGATGTTGTGGAATGCAGGATAAAAGATATGTCCTATATTTTCCTTCTTATCGATTCTAGTTCTATTTTTCTTTTATTTCAATTTTTCATTGTGTAATAATGTGATCACCAGGTCAAATTTCTTACTTACTTTGGACCAGATACGTGATTCACTTCAGTTTGATTTCATTCAATCCCAGTTTGCTTGGAGTCAAATAAATCAGGACACGAGCAGAGTCTATGTAGAGTGAGATAGCAGGCCAGGAGGGGCACGTAGATGAACAAGAAAGTATAACTGGCTGATATTGGACAGTTTAGTTTCGTGGGAGAGATGACGTAGAATATGACTCTTAAAGGCAAGAAGAATTAGCCAAGGGCAGGGGTGGGAGTGGTTGATGTTGGCAATAGTGAGAGCGAGGAAAGGAGAGAGGAAGTGCCTGTTTAGTGAGAGCTGAGCAGTCTACTGTGCCAATACCAAACTCTTTCACCCATCTTAGTTCTCTCTGTCCTCTCTGGAAGCAGCCCCAGTGAAGTTTGCTCGATATCTGTCATCCCGGACACATCAGAAATTCTTGGACTTAGAGCTGCATAAGCAGGAAAAGCACAAATCTCATATTTAAAAGGCTATGACAAGAGATCTGGGTAACATCTCAAAACGCTGATTTTCCTGACTCTATCACTCATTTGCTGGGAGAACCTTGAGAAAGTCTCAGAATCTCTTTCCCATGGAAGCATGGAGTGGCATGACATAGACCAGAGAGGATGTAACGCTGGAGAGAGCACTGCCACTCCTCATTCTGGTGTCCATGCAAACATGCTTAACCACTCTTGACACCTTCTCTTGCTGAGTCTTGCTGCATCCTGGGACTGTTGCTCAAAATAATGCTTCAAGCCAGTTGTGATCAATGGACCAGCGTTGGTCCAAGAGAAGAAGCTCCAACAGCACTAGACAGAGACACCCACGTTAGGCCTGAGTCGTGGCTCTGTCAGTTACCAGCTGAGTGACTTTGGGTCAGTCACTCAAGCACCTTGGCTCTTAATCTCTTGTTCTATTAAAATGGAAACAACAATCTCTAAGTCACAGAGTTGTAGAAAATAATATCATGTAGGATCTTAGACACCAAGCATTGCAAATGGTACAGGGCTAGACAAATCTAAACAGCTCTTACTGCTATGGTCTTTATAGAATTCTGTACAGAATATACTGTACATACTTACACCACAGGTCCAGGAAGGGCAAGCAGCCTGCCCAGCTAGGATGTTTGTTGCCAGCTTTCAGAGCTAATTTATTTCCCTCTAGCAGGACTCTAAGTCTGGCAGGTTTTGCAAACACAGACCCGTATGGGAATTTGAGAGATCTTCTTTCCCAGCTGTGTGATTTTGATCAGGCTCAGTTTCCTCCTTTGTAAAATGGGGGAAATAGTAATTCTTCATTAAAGGTGACTCAGAGATTTACATGAGCTAGTTAAACACTTACCCCAGGGCTGGGCCTGTCATGAGTTCTCAATAAATGACAATGAAAATGTTGGGTTGAGGGACAAGTCCCATTAGAGTTAGAATTTGTCCTAGGGAGAGGGTTTTCACACCCAGTATTACCCTTCCTCAACACTTTAGAAACCTCCTCTAATCAATTTCACAAGCCAAGAATTTTGGGAAAAGCACACCTGCTTCTCTGACTTGGATTCTCCTAGAAGACACAAATCACAAAGAGTAAAGAGAAAAAAAAACAAGCTGTACCCTTAATATTAGGCTCTTTACCTCTCTCCTCTGATCCTCACCTGCAACTGTTGGTTGTGTGGAAGTTGGTGCTGCCCACTTTGGAGACTGCAGGTTTGGGAAAGATTCAGTCAAAACGAATTCCCTGAAATGCCATTGAGATATGCTTGATTAATCAAAGCTCTTTATTAAAGAAGTTATTTCCCCATAGATGGGCTGAAAGTTTTCCAATCAGCCTTTTGCTCAAGGATCACTCGTGAAAAATCTTTCTCAGATGGGTTAAATCAGGCAAACAAACTCTTCCTCTATCCTTCACTCCCGGGAATAAGAAAGCACAGCGTTCTGGAAGGTTCCTGGCTTTCGCCACAGCAGGAAATGATAGGCATTCTTGACATTTCAGAACCTTGATGCGGCTTTTTTTTTTAGGGTGGATTTTAAAAAATCTTTCCATAGTTTCATTGTTGTACCTGAGCTTTCCTTATCCAGTGGATTTGCTCTAATTATCTAAATGGTGTTAAAGAAGATGGTTTCCTTCTAGCAAGAGCACAGCAAGAGTGATCCTAACAGACGTGGATGTAACTATGGGATGGAAAGTTGACCGTATTGTAACAAGTGGCAGCTGCCTCTTATAGAGTTCTGGCAAAATCCATCTGTCTCCTTCTAACCTTAGGTGTCTAGATCCAAGGTGGGTCAGTGTTTGTGATAGTCCAAAACTTCCCAAGGAACATGCAGGGTGCAAGTATTGCCCAGCTACCTGCTCTCAACCACGGCTGAAACCCATGACCATATTTGGGCCTCCTTAATACTCACTACATCAACAGAAAATGTATCATAGCAGCAGGGCCAGCAGTCACTGCCAGAACAGAAGGCAGGAGAACGGAAACGAGGGAGACGGAGGGAGGAAGAAAGAGGGGCAGACAGCCATCCTACACCGATTCCCACGGAGAGACCGCCCAGAGAGACAAGACCTTCCCACTGGCAGACACACAAAGAAAGTGAAACAGACTGACAGCTGCACAGACCAGAGTGAGGAGAAAGAAAACAAGAGAATACATGAAATAGAGAGGGAGAGAGAGAATGAGGCTTGAAATAGTAAATATCCATCTACCTGTATAAATACACAGACACACACACACACACACACACCTCCTTCAAAGAGTTCATGCAAAGTGCAGATTATGAAATAATTGTATTTTGTAAAATTTTGCACCAAACTAAGACTCTAAGACTTACCTTTTAATTATATTTTCCATGAAATTTTTGAAGCATCCCCCTACTTTTGTGTGTGTATTCAACCCACTGACACCCCAAAAATTCTTGCTGACAATGACGCGGTAGGGTCCCCGCTCCCATTCCCATGGTTTTTGGGTATTTATTTGGTTTGGATATAGAACCTGTGGAACATAAGGTGCCAGTGAGCACAACTACTTCAGCTCTCCTGCAAGACCAGGGATCCTGCCTCAGTTTATCTGAGAAAGCACAGGAAAGGAAAGCCCTTGTTGCTTGGAAAATTATCCAGCATTTCTAACCAACCCATTGTTTCTCATGTTTAGAATGAATATATTCTAAATGAACACTTACCAAGTTTTCCTTTACCATCATCTCAAAATGTATCCTCCAGAGGTGTGCCTTAGGAGCCCAGGTGCCTGGTTCACTTCTTCCCCATCACTGATCTCCCTGGGCCCTTCCCTTCACTAACCCAACCCCCACTGGAAGAAGACAAAATCTGTTCAAGACCTGAGTGCCTTCGGACCTTGCCTTTGCCATGATTTCACGTCACCTGTGAGAAGCTTAACCTTCATCCCACTGAAAGGAGTCGAGATGAAGGAAGGAACGGGTGCTCTTTCTTTCCACTCTGGCAGGAAGGGGTCATTTTTCTGCACACGTTCCCTCCCTGGATACATGCCTGCTGTCCTGGACGCGTGTAGCTATCGCTCCCCTAAAGTTTGATAGATTTGTCATTTTCTGATGCTGGAATGAGTTTGTTAGAGGAAATTTATGAACACATTACCCTAACTGGCAAGAACCTGGAGTGCTTGAGGATTTCCTGAAGAGACACTCCAAGAACCTTCTGTGGCTTTTTGCTTTTCCTTAGGACTTGGTGTGATTTTCATGGTCTATTTGTTAAAATGCTTCCCTGACGTAAAATACTCATGCAGCATAAATAACCTCCGTCTGAAATACTTTGGATCTTTCCAATCTGGAAGTCTGAGCTTGAGCTCCCTGCTTTAAATACACTGCAGACAAATTATCCAAATGAAGAGACAGCAAGTTCCCATTTCGTCATTGGGCGCAAACAGTACTTTTTGCTATATTTACCCATTCTTAACATGCCTGAGTACACAGATTTGCTATTTAGAGATTTCAGTGCTGTGTTGTTTATTGCACAAAAATCATTAGTATTGCTTCCTGCATTGTATCTTCCTTTCCTAATTTTCCCACTTGGCGCTTTTTGCTTTGGATTTTGCCTGATACAAATATTGCCCCTTTTGCAATTTTGGTGGCATTTTCATTGTATCACTTTGTCTATCCCTTTATTTCCAAACTTCCTGTATCATTCTGAAATAAGTATATTTCTTACAAAGAGTATATTGCTGGGGTTTTGCTGTTTTTACACCAAATAAAACTTTTTAAAAGAAAATCCATTTTTTACTCATTTTTAGCAATTCCTCCTCCTACACCACCTTTTTGTAGAAAAATACACATATCATAAAATTTACCATCTTAGTCATTTTAAGTCTACAGTTCAGCACTGCTAAACACATTCATAATATACTACAATCACTACCATCCATCTCCCTAACGCTTTCCCTCTTGTAAAACTGAAGCTCCTTACCCATTAATAACTCCCTGTTTCCCTTCCCTCTGGCAATTACCATTCTACTTTCTGTCTCTGTATTTTCACTATTGCAAGTACCTCATTTAAGTGGAATCAGACAGTATTTGTCTTTTTGGCTTATTTCACTTCTATAATGTTCTCAGGATTTATGCATTGTGTTTTCTGAATGCATCCGAGTTTCTTTACTTTCTAAGACTGAACAATATCTCACTGTCTGTACATACCATACTTTGTGTATCCATTCATTCTCAACGGACCCTTGGGTTGCATCCACAGTGCTATTTTGAATAATGCTGCTGTGAACATAGGTGTTCAAGCTCCTGGTCTGAGCTCTTTTGGTTAAATGGAATCACTAGGTCATAGAATGAATTTTAGGGGTGGATGCTGTGGTGCAGCAAGTTAAAGCCCGGGCCTGCAGAGCCTGCATCGCATATGGGTGCTGGTTCGAGTCCCGGCTACTCCACTTCCAATTCAGCTCCCTGCTAATGCGCCTGGGAAAGCAGTGGAGGATGGCCCAAGGACTTGGGCCCCTGCATCAACGTGGGAGGCCTGGAGGAAGCTCCTGGCTCCTGGCTTCTGATTGGCTCAGCTCTGGCCATTGTGGCCATTTAGGGAGTGAACTAGCAGATGGAAGACCTCTGAATCTCTCTCCTCTCTTTATCTACCTCTCTCTGTGACTCTATCAAATAAATATTAAAAAAAAAAAAGTGTGTTTTAAAAGAGGCATTTAGGGGCTGGCCCTGTGGTACAGCAGGTTAAGCCATGGCCTGTAGTGCTGGCATCCAGTGTGGGCATCAGTTCGAGTCCCTGCTGCTCCACTTCTGATGCAGCTCCCTGGTAATGCGCCTGGGAAAGCAGCAGAAGATGGCCTAGCCCTGTTGTTGTAGCTATCTGGTGAGTGAACCAGCAAATGGAAAATCTCTCTTTCTCTTTCTATTCTCTCTGTAACTCTATCTTTCAAATAAATAAATTTTCTAAAAAAAAAAAAAAGAGGCATTTAACTCATATGTTTTTATTGATTTGGAAATATTTCTGCCACTTAATTCCCTATTTTATACCTGTTTGTTTACCAACACATTCAGCAAATATTTCCTAGGCTTTCTTGTTTCCCAGATATGAGGTCTTTGCGAATTGCAGATGAGTTGTAGTTGTTACCATGGTGATGCTGATGAAGACCAAAGTGCACCTTTTGATAGCATGCCTTGAAGTAAGAATACTTATCCTGAAGTTAATGACGTCAGAACTTGGTAAAGCTTCCTGACGGGGATTGCCATGGGCCCAGTTTAGTAATGAGGGGTTTAAATCAATAAAAGTGCTCTGGATTTGGAGTCAGACCCCTCACTCCCAATTCCAGCATAAACACACACACACACACACACACACACACACTTGCTATGCAACCTTGGATATTTAATTAACCACTGCACCCTCAATTTCCTATTTTGTAAAAATAACAGCGTGATGGAGAGGATTAACTGGAGCCCCAAAGGACAGCACTTTCCACAATTCGGGGCTTATTGCAGTCTTCACAATGCCCATATAAAAATAAAACCTCTCTCTCGGTTTGCGGTTCATTTCCTTTTCGGAGCTGGGGTCTGGCTGGTATGCAGGAAAAGCAGAAAGCATGTCAGCTATGTTATCTGCTTGTCATCACGAGAAGAGCCAAGTGGCAGGCCCGGGATGGAAACACATCCGGAGCACTGGGGTGGGCCTTGGAATTCTCCAGTGGAGACTCCTAGATAAGGAAACGCCAAGGGCCGGGGCTGCTGAGTGACTGGGAAGGGACAGGAGGGTGGACCGTAGCTCCCAGAGTCCCCAAATAAGGCAGGACATCATTTGCCTCTGCTTCACCCAAGTGCACACGTCAGCAACCAAGGCAGCCCACCCCATATCAGCCCAGCGTCCCCTGAACACCCGCGGGAGAAGAGCCAAGTGCTGAGTTGAGTGGCACCATCAGGAAAAGCCCAGCAGCCACACTTGGCTTCCACTTTCTAATGTGATTTCTAACCTCTAATGGGTCCTCCCTTTCCCTCTTTTGCCTAGCCTACAGGACAGACAGCTGTCCTTGGAAGGCAGGGTGGCTCGGAAGGTCCCCAGTGCACCCCCTCACTGTGCACTGTGCCTGCCCAGGTCGGTTGTTCTGCATCTAACCCAAACTGGCTCCCCAGGGAGCTGTTCCCTTGTGCCTCCACAGGCCGCTTCCTTGCCAGACATTCCTTTTCAGTGAGAGGACGTTTTCATCCCCTGGTAAACAATCCCCAGCCTGCACACAGCCCAGAGGGTGCCTGTCCCTCTTCACGCTCTCCCCTCAGTCCTGAGCCCATTCCAACCCCAGAGGCGTCAGTCTGCTCTATAAATTCCTTTGTGAAACCTGAGCTTTGCTCTGAAGGGAGAGCAAAGATCTTGGAGGGGTTGCAGTCCCCCTCCTTCCCTCAAGGATCTGCTTGGGTTGGCGGTAGCAGAATATATTTTTCCAAACAGCCTCTCCCCTCGCGTGTGTGAACTCAGTTAAGAAGGCATAGCCAGGCTCCTGTGAGGGAGAGGCAAGATCAGCTCTCTCGCAGGTCTGCACAGGAAGGGGATGCCCTGCCTGGGGGGATTTTTCTGGTTAGAAGGGTCTGAGCCTGAGTCCTAGGCTGTCATTATTGGGCGAGGTAGGGCTTCACTCTGAGTAGACTGGAGGACAAAGCAGCCCCCAGCCCTGCCCTGGCGGCTGGCAGAGGTCATAGTCGGCTGGAGCTGCATGCGACTTTTGTTTCAATCATGGTAGTTTCCTAAATTATATAGAGAGAAATTAAAAAGGGAGGGGAGAGGGAGGAGATATCATCAAAAGCAAAGTGGGAAGAGAAAGGAAAGAGAAGGAAAGGAAGAGACCTTCAGCTCGCTGGACTTGGGCTGAGCCAGGACATCTTAAGCCGGATGTGAAGTTCCCTACCTCGCTGCTACCCTTCTCCCGCTCAGAGCCTCCTGTGTGCTCTCGTATTTTAGCTATTTCTTAATAGATCATTTAATTCCCAGAATTTGGAAATGAGGTAATAAGCCAGGAGCTGGGAGTCATCTTTTGAAGGCAATGTGTTGTTTTGGTGGTGCTGAAGGAAACACGATGAGGCAGCTTTGTTGTCAGACTCCCAGTGTCACAGTCTCACATGGAAACAGAACACGTGGTCTGCTGGACCTGGCGATCCTCGAGGTTTAACAGACGTTCCACGTGGCCAAACCAGTGTTTGCAGACTGATGCTTATGTTTCTAGAACAGTAACATCTCCGTGCCTTTCGCAGCTTGATGGTGGCCGAGGCCATAAGGCAGGTCACGGGTGGTGAGTCTCCTTTCCCCAACCTCCCGCCCAGCTGGGGCTCCGAGACAGGATGCAGCTGAGCGAGCACTGCCCCCGGGAGCTGCTCTGCAGCCTGCCTGCGGCTCCAGCGACGC